AAGACGAAGAGCTGTTAGCCTCACAAGACGAAAGGCTGTCAGCCTCACAAGACGAAAGGCTGTCAGCCTCACAAGACGAAAGGCTGTCAGCCTCACAAGACGAAGGGCTGTTAGCTTCACAAGATGGCGAACATATAAACCTCCTCTTCCTGCAGAAGGCCAAAATCTCATCTGAAATCTGAACTCGGTTCCTGCGGCTTAGATGAAGCGACACGTATATATTTCTGTAAAAGTATTATCGACGAGAGGTTTTACAGACATCTGTCAGGCGTCGGGATACAGTCCGCCCCGTCACTCGAGGACCCCTACGTGGTTCTGTTTGTATCATCTTTGCACGGGTCTCATTGCATCACGCCCTTTTCCTGACTGAGCCTAACCCACACCAGGGCACAGAGGAAAGGGCAGCTCTTGAGTTATCCTGGGCACATTCTTGGGGAACAGAAAACACAATGGGGCAGGATTTCATCTTTTTCTGCTGCTATTTGTGCTGTTTGTTAGTTCCCCACTTCTCTTTTCGGAGAGCCATACTTATAGAAACAGCTTCATGCATACGTTACTAAAAGTAGCCTGAGTATCAGTGACCTGTGAAAAACACTCTGTGCTTATTTATGTTTTAGTTATGCAGCGCACCCAGACACCGCAACCTCTAGTGCTGTTACAACATTCTTTTCCCATCATAGGTTCTCGTCCCTGTCACGTATCAAACTTCTGACATCTGCATCGCCGGTGGACAGCACCCGCTATTAAAAAGAGGCCACCTCGCAGTTAACATGATGCTTAAAACCAGCATCCACGTAGAAGTCATAAACCCCTCACTGACTGAATATCTGCACCTCTGTACTGTATATCGATATGTTGACAGGCCAAGAAAGGCAGAAACCAGAATATCTCTGAACAAAACCGACAGATGGACAGATACTCGGTTTATGAACTGTCTGCTTCTCATAGACATGAAAGACTGAGAAATGCATGTATTGGGAACCAACGACAAGCAGACGACTGCCTGGCCGTGTGGATCTGCATGCGTGCGTTCCGGTTACTGCCCTCCATCTGAGTTGCGGTGAAGGTTCTGACTCTCCACATCTGTCATGTGTTTGGGTCAGACCCATAAATATTTACGGCGCTCTGCCACGTGTCGTCGCCTCGCTTTGTGAGGGTACGTAAGCATGTCTTCCATGTGTTCGGGGCTCCTTACGCCACACTCCACGGGGGCCCTCCCCAGAGGAGGACCTCTGACACATGTAAACAGGACATAAACATCAGATGGACTGGGACATTAAAGCCAGCCCCGCAAGATGGACCGCAGTGGCTGTAAACATCCTGGCTGTTTCCCCCCTGGGTTCTTGGTGTGTTCCGGAGAGCCACACACTGCTGGGATGTCATCAGTACTGCTGTGCGTAAACGCTAGATCAGGGGCATGAGGCTGTTAGTCTGATGGGTGTCGGAGGAGGATGTTGTGAAAACTGAAAGGAAATCCAGAGAAACAGCTGTCTTTCTGGCAGCTCTGGTATGACATTTATTGCAAATGATAATTCCATCCTTCCATCCACATTCCATAAGTGCTTTTCCAGTGCAGGGCTGTGGTGAGAGTGAGGCGATGGATTCAGGCCAGAGAACATCACAGAGCAGCAGGAAAAAGCAGCAACAACAAAGAATGAACTTACTTAGAGTTCAGTCATTCTTCTCAAAAGCAAAGCAAACTTTATGGTGGTGTATTTTACATTTTATTGCCATTCCTTAAAAAAAATTAAGTCTCACAGAAGTTTAGCTTTTATGTCTAACCTCACTGACAACAAAAAATATATAATCAAAAGTATTCAAAACACAGTATTTGTTAGCTTTCAAACTGGAAAAACAACTAAACCAAGTCACAGATGTCCTTAGCTTATCACTCGTAGCTCTTAAGTTCAGCTTGGGCTGGACAGCTGCGTTCAGCCTCACAGCCTACAGTCTACAAACAGATGTGTGGATAAAACCAGCTGTGATTAATGGAAGACAAGAAAATAGGATTCAGATCTGATTCACATCACCAGTGTGGGAGAACGACAATGTCTCCCTACCACAGGAATAGAACCGAACGGTTTTGTGCAGCTTGGGAGAGAATAAGAACCTGAAACCAGACCTTGTAAAACCGTGGGTAGCAGGTGCTCAGGTCCCAGAGGAACGAATAACAGACCGCAGCTCTAACAAGATCTGTTAAGATGATTTAAGTAGTAAATATGTTTTCACGGGATGTTCGCTGGAGGCAAATGAACTTAGAACAATTTCACTGGCGGTCAAAACTGTGGTAACACCCAGCATTTTCGGCATCAGGGTTTAAAAATTACTACACGAATACTGCCTGTAATGTTTATAAACACTCAAAGAATATTTACAAATATCATATATTGGACAATTAAATAAGTAACTGGAGAAGCACTTGAATAAAGCTGTTCAATCTCTAAATATTGTAAATGTTTGCACAATTTTGGCCCCCAGTGTAGCACCCCGCATACATAGACCACGTGGTTTATGTTTAAGCTATTAAACAACAAGCATAAATGAGTGAATAAGCACCCTCCGATCGGTTACCTTATCAGAGCTGATGCTGAGTTTCTTTTCCAGAAAGAATGCGCCGTTCTCCTCCGGCGCCGGGGTGGGTGCAGGTTCCGCGGCGATGTCACCCTCCTCTACCCCGCCGTCGTTTGCGGCTGCATCGCTCGGAATGGGGATGCCTTCCGTAACATACTCCTTCATGCACTTCAAGTTGTGTTCCATCAGCACATCCTCCGTCTCCTGGTCCACAACGATGAGTTCCAGCTTTCCCACGGTGGCTCGTATGCGCGATACGACCTGCTGGTGGCTGTCCCCTTCCACACACTCCCCGTTGACGAACACCAGCCGGTCCCCTGCGCGAAGACCCGACGCTTCGGCCGGCGAGTCCGGTTCTACGAGGCGAATGAACTGCCCCGACTTGCCCTTCTCCCCATGAAGATGGAAACCGTAGCCGTCTGATCCTTTTTCTAACACGCATAGTCTGGGCCGAGGTCTGGTCATTTTTAATGTTCAAGCTATTTAAAAGTAAAAAGTATCCGCTTTCTGATAAACACGGGTATTCAGAAGTACTGTCAGTGACACTATTCACTTTCAGCAAGAACGCCTTTGTCGCTTATAAAGCTCCTCCCATAGGGACTGTTGAAATGGGCCTGTTACCTATTTCGAAACCGCAGAATAAGCCGTATACGCAAAGATACTGTTGATGACATTCTCCAAATCCGCCTATTTTTAAGGTACTGATAAGAACATGTAGTAAGGTGCTTAAGAAGACGTGTTCGTAATATGATGGTTCTTGGCTTAAATAGTCCGTAACGCCAGGGCGTGGATGTTATCAAGCTAAACATCTGATTATTAGCAGTTTTTGTTCAGAGCAATTCATCGCCGCTTAATTTGCTCCGTAGCGGAGGTACCGTTGTCACATGGCTTGGTTGTCACAGAACCCATAACTTAAAGTAGAGGGCGCTGATAGACCTGCATCCTACTGACCTAATAGTCCCTATTTTAGTTTAAGTTACAACCGTGAAAAGTGTTCATAGATTTAGTGTTTTGTAGCTCCTAAAAATGTTTAACAGCTTTTTTTGTCATGAATCTTAAGTGCACTAAGGTAACTCTTGCGTTGGGCTTCTGTCAGATGAAGGGGTTGGTTATACGCTCCATGTGTGTGGAGTCTGCATGTTCTCCCCGTATTCTTCTGTGGTTTCCTCCAGGTGCTCTGGTTTCCCCCCACAGTCCAAAAACATGCTGAGGCTCATTGGAGTTACTACATTGCCCATAGGTGTGCATGTGTGAGTGACTGGCGTGTGACTGTGCCCTGTGATGGGTTGGTACCCCATCCTAGGTTCTTCCCTGCTTTGTGCCCTGTGATGGGTTGGTGCCCCATCCTGGGTTCTTCCCTGCTTTGTGCCCTGTGATGGGTTGGTGCCCCATCCTGGGTTCTTCGCTACCTTGTACCTGTAGGCTCCATGATAGGCTCCGGATCCCCCGCTGCCCTAAATAGGACAAGCAATACAGGAAAGGTATGTGTGTGTGTGTGTATATATATATATATATATATATATATATATATATATATGGTGGTTTCATTTGGCTTGGTGCCAAATGACAGCACCATGTTTACAGCACAGTGTCCCCATCACTGCACTGGGGCATTGAGATCCACACAGACCACAGGATGGGCTCCCCCTGCTGGCCACAGTGTCCCCATCCCCCCCATCCCATGTTCTCATATATCACAAACTGTAACGTATAAATCTTCCATAGTACAATTATAAGACCCAACACCGTGTAATTCAACCGCGCATTTATTGCATTAGTATTATTTAGTCAACCAACTTCGACACATTGCCCCTCGCACGGTGCGCCCACACGCACCACTGTTTACAATACTTAACATTTGACGCAATACATGACATTACTTTACAACACAATGACAACACAATAGACAATGGCTACACAAAGCTATTGACATTAATTACAAGCTGGCAACGGTCCAACACGTCGCGTTGTCTGCCGGATACCGTCAGTATTCTCCAGAAACTGTAGTGATAATATTCAAATATATTTAGCATTTATTTGAATTTAAAGAGAAACAAGTATTTTTATTTGTGTCGACATATTTCCTTAGTGTAAAATACCGTAAAATCCCGCAGCATTGATTTCACATTTAGTTGTTTTAGCAGCACACAATATATACTGGTTTCGTTCGTCGCTTTCAAAGAATTGGCCCAAAACCTGACTCACCTTTTGAGCTCCTCACATTTGACTAACAGATTTGACTCGCCAGCTTTGAATATCTTTGAATATCTTTTGTTAGTCCTGCAATGCTACAGCTAATAGCCGTCATGGTTTTGTCGGGCTAAGGTAACTAAATATGCCTTCAACGAATAAAGCAAAGGTATCTTTTGTGCGTAACTCAAGGAACCATAAAAAGAGAAGTGTTGAGAAGTGTGTCGATGCTGCCGTCTAGCGGTAACAAATGTATAGACACTTCAAGTTTGTCACGGAGGCTCCCGGGAAATTGCGCAAACAAACCTTGATCAGCAGCACACCTTTGCACTGGCTGAAAGTCTAATCCCCTGTTGCTGGGCCTCGTAGGCAAGTCTTTTCTGATACTTGATGTATTTTATTAAGGCTTATTTAATGCACTACCTAGGCTTACTTAGGGTATAGCAAACCACGTGTTGTTTTAGACTCTGGCCTACAGCATTCCTCGTCTTTTCTTCCTCGTTTTATATCGCAGTGTCGCCACGGAGCACCGAGGACACAAAATGTCACAATGACCGACTGAAACAGATGCATTAGTTCATTTACGTAGCAAGACAGGTTTTCAATGGAATAAAAGCAAGAAGCTTTAGATGTGATAGAGGGCAGGCAACGCTGGGAACGAGAGAAGTAGCCACCGTGTGAAAGAACACAGCACGAAGCACCACCGTTAAGTTAAGCTTCCGAGTAATTAGGAGAGGTGCTTTTAATGTCAGATGGTCGTGACCCTCCGCTTCCCGGCCTGAGCAGTTGCAGCGCCGTGGGGAGGCTGCGGGGGCAGAAGAGGTCGGCCTAAGTAGGTGCAGGCAGCAGAGAAAACTACGGTTAAATAAAAAAACTAAACACTACAATTTTAATAGATTTTTTATTTTATTCTTATTTTAAACACCTTTCTGACACAACCATAAGTAGGAGAACAAACGTCAACCGATAATTGACGAAAAGCATCTTACTAACGGACACGCCGTGACACTCCTGCTGAAATACTACAGTTACGTAAAATCCACATATCACATGTTTTAATGATATATTTGCTATGGGCGATAAAATAATCTAATTTCATCGAATAACATTTCGTTTATAATAACCTATAATTGCTAATTCTAATGACCTAACGATTGATTGCACGAATTGTGGTTGTACATGTTACAATTTACAAAACAATATTAAAAACACTAAAATGATGACAACATTAATAGTTTTAGCCGATTATAACGAACCGGGCGACTCGGCATTAAAAGCACATTTTTAGGCCAAGTGCCGTTGAATAGCACAGGTAGATCCGTGACATTTTTTTATTTATTCAGTAAGCAAAAGCACATTTTTCAGATGTAGCTACAGCTGGCTTATCGTTCTCATGCACGGGTCCACTTATCGTTAGTGGTCTGGGAACAGACGGACCATTTCCTCTCACGACTCGAATGTTTAAGATCTGTCAACCAACCGACCTAGCACCAACATATAACGAATAAGGGACCTCTTATCTCCCCAGTAATGTCAAAGTATTAGGAAAGCCACGACTAAGTAAATAAAGTGCAGTGTAATATTTTATATGTCAATTTGCAACATAGCCTATAATTTGTTAAATGTCAATCAAAATACTGTAGAACGCCAGAGTCGTACAATCCTATATTCGAGATAAGCTCTTTTCTTTAGCAGCATGAAAAATATGTCTGTCTCCATGAACACCAATCCTTCCACCAAAATTTCCACCCTCAGAGTTCACATGGGCGAGCACAGGTAGATGGAGTGGAATTATACAAATGTAAGTAAATATATATTATTTCCTCCATTTTCACATATCAGTCCATCTGACTATCTATCTATCTATCTATCTATTTTACAATATATCAATATATATTGTCAATATATTTCAACACATGGTTGACACTTGTAGCATCACGTTTATTTATCTTAGTGGCAAAAGCCGATATGCGCTCACGTTCTATGATGAGTCGTAGTGTGTCACTGAAAGCATCGACTATATGATCATTATCTATTAGTTTTCTGTTTTGATGTCTGAGCAGCTCCGCACAGTCCCGCTGTTGCTGGAGCAGTTATCTGAGACAGCGGCAATCTGGGTGAAGAAGCGGAGAAAAAGCGGCCGCACGGGGAGCTCCTCCGCACGAGGAACTCCTCCGCATCTCCAAGACAACCGGTGAGTCTCGTGCTGGAATGCGCTACCCCACACGTTCCTGGCCCTTTCTGTCATAATGCATGCGTGTCCTGCCTCGTTCACCAGCATACCGTAAAAAATAAAGCAGGTTAAAGACATACAAAGCTACGTAGCGGTACCATTTGGTCAAGCAAATGCGTTTTATTTGTTTACAGTACTTAATCGACAGTGATAGCAAAACAACTGGTGGGGGTCTCATGTCTAAACAAACATCACACCGCCTTATCTGTATTAGTAACAGGAATGCTGTGTTAAAATAACGTCCCCCCAATATTTTGACATAACTAATTAATATCTCGTCAGGACAGTTGATTATTGCTGTTAAGTTCTGATCTCTGGTAAAACGATATGATCAGTGGAGTATTAAGGAGGTTAACTTTAGAAACTTCTGTTTAGTTAACTGGAATGGAAAGTTTGCCATTTTGTAGCCCGATCGATTCACAGGCTTATTTTGAATATTACCGTAGCCGACTTAAAAGACTGCATTATGTGACGTAAAATAACGTTTGTAGCTCAGAAAAAGGTGTGTTGTGTACGTGCCAGTCACGGTGCGCTGCTGGGGCTCCGTCACGGGATTGGACGAGCGCAGCCTTTAATTAACTAAGGTCTGCCGGACCCGTGGTCCGGCTCTCAGATGCAGCGAGAGCTCAGGACAAGTAACGGGATCACCGGACATGTCACGGACGGAACGTTCTCTGCTTTTTCATAAAGTCCTAAAGTCGATCATAAAGTGAAATGCTCACCCCAGCTACACCGACCGCTTCGGCCCCACCGCTAACAACGGACAGTCTTACAGTCATCGTGGCTTCCAGTAAGTTTACGCGTTTTTCTGTTAATTTCACAAGTCAGTCGCAATTCATAATATGCATTTTATATTGCGCTAAGTTTAACCATACCCACTTAACAAGGTTTAGATAAATTCACATTAAGTAAATTATAATTATTACATCAACGAAACATAGACTTTAAACAAACAGCGTACATCCATTCACCATTATTAACAGATTAGTGGTCAGTGTCTTGGGTGACAAGTGCAGTCTGATAGTTTAATAACGAAATCAAATTCACTTTCGGACAACATAATGGGCACAAAGTATGTGGAATTTCATGGAAAAAATATGACACGTTTCCGTTTACCTTGCACCAAATATATTAATATAATTCTAGCCTAACTTCATTCTGCTTACGATACGTAACAACGAAATCATTGTTTTCAGGAACACGTCGGCTTTGACCCGAAGTATATTTAAATATGAGTGTTATACTGACTGATTGTCTCAGCTGCCATTTAGTTTTATTAGAAACAAAAACAGCAACGGTTTTGCAAATCTGAGCATCATGACTGAACAGGGAATTCTGTGGAGAATCAAACTCCAGATCTTAGAAAACAGGCGTCACAAAACCCTTAGCAGTGTTTGAGTCTAATGTGAAGGCATTTATATGACAGTTGTCTCATTCATGCGTAGCTCATATAATGAGTAACTCGTTCCCTCTGTCCCCGTCTCCTTCCCCATTCAGTCTGTTCTTTAGTATTTCTACTGGTGGTCTTGATGCTGTTGGCCATCCTTTATCGCAGAGATCCGCTTTGCTGCAAAGCCAGGCACTTTCCGGAGACCCAGCCGTACCCGGTAAGTCTATGCATGAAACTGTAACGGGGAGCTGCGCCGCGGTGCGCCTGCGTGACGAGGCGGAAACCGGTTATCGCGAGGGAGGGGGAGAACGGCAGAACGAAAATGAGCAGCGCGCAGGTTGACGGTCCTTCTCCACACTCCGCTCCCGGTGTTCTGGGCAATTCGGTTTCCCTATGTTTCCCCTGTCGCGCGCTGATTTGTACACGGTTTCGCTGTTGTTTTAATGTCTTTTTACGAAGCTCTTGAGGTAAACAAGTCATATATTTTAAAACATCACATGACTTTTCGATGTTTTTTGTTTTTACAGATAATACATGAAAGTATTTAATTGCTGGATAGAGATATTTCTTAATGAAAACGGTATAGTATTGCTTATAAGACTATATTATGCGTGACGGTCTACTGTATTCACATGTAATAATATACCTGAGTGATTTTCAGACATCACATACATATTTGCCTAAATATTAGGAGAAACTATTTCCTGACATCCAGGATATTTGGTTCCCCCCTGTTAAAACAGGTATACAGCAACTCTGGGCCTCGGTACTAATAGCAATACAGTATTCACATGTAATAATGTACCTGAGTGATTTTCAGACATTTCACATACCTCTTTGCTTTAATATTAGGGGAAACATTATTTCCTGATAGACAGGGGAAACATAGGGAAACCGAATTGCCCGGAACACCGGATCGGTGTGGCGAGCACCGAGGGCCCTCAGAAGTCGCAGGACATTCAGAAATGCACTAATCCCTGGTAGCCGTTGCTCGTTTGCCGATTAATAAAAACTGAATAATAATAATAATATAATGACAGCAACATAAGGACGGGAGGATGTGCTTGCAGAGGGAGGGCTGGGAGACATGCAAGGCAGATATGTGAAACTCTCCGAACGAGTAAGGCTGTAAGATGCGTATTCATTTGCATCAAGCTCCACTTTTAATAACAGTTCATGCTGTTTTGATAATAAAGTAATGGAAACCACTAAAATGTGCTGAGTAAGTCCTTACCTTTTGTACTGTTAGTGGGGGGCGGTCAGCAAACTATGTTTATTATGTATCTAACAAAAGATTCCAGGTCCAGGAAGTGGCACAGGAAATGTCAGCGAAAGGAGCTGAAAGTATCACTAGCAGGTCATGTCACACTTCCACTTTATTTTTACAGTATAATTTCCTGTCATTTATAACCAGCAGCAGCATGTATTTTTCTTTTTAAACTATTGCACTTTAAATCGATTACATTGCTGGTACCTTGGGCTGGTACCTTGGGCTGGTAGTTGATACCTCTACCAACGACTTTTGGTATCTTCCCATTGATATTTGTCACCTTCTGCTACTATTTTCTGAACATTTGGCAGAGAGCTCAAATCCTGCAATAGACCCCTGTTGAGATATGACTTCAGGTTTGAGTTTGTTTGGTGTACCGTCCAACAGAATGATGTCTGTGCGAGTCGCTGTAGAAAAATAATTGAGAATAAGTCACAACAGGTTAAATGGCAGACAGGAAGTCAAGGCCAGCAGTGCACATGGTGCAGAACCTAATTTCATCTCTCTTGGGGGGGGAAATGGGGTGAGGGCAGGAACGGGGAACGCCAGGGCATCTAGTGCAGTGTTTCCCAACCCGATCCTCGGTCCGGGGTTCCCAACCCCCTGCCAGTCCACATTTTTGCTCCCTCCCAACTCCCTGTCAGACAGTCCACATTTTTGTCCCCTTCCAGGCCCCTACCGGAGCAAAACCGCGAACGGTCTGGGGGTCCCCATGGACCGGGTTGGAAAACACTGATCTACTGAAAACTCGCGAGTTGGCAGAAAGGTTGTTCCCAACTCCTCAAAGTGACTTAGCACCGTATACAAAGTACATGTAAGGTTCACCTTTCATCTCTTTGGTGTTTTTGTGCCACAGTTTTGCGTTTGGATTTGCATAACTTACCATAATCTTGAGTAAGCTGTGTTAAATAACAATTAAAAAAGCTTATGGCAGGGAGGCTGTGATTGAGTTGGGGATGGCAGGAGGCCCCAGCTAGAAAATTTATCAAGCGAAGGGAGATGATTACGTGGTCCGGATGACATATTTCAGTTCAGAGACCGCCAGTTGAATTCCTGTGATGTAGTTGGTAGATTTACCTGTATGTGAATAGCACTCAGAGGTGGAAAGCTTAGGTGTAGAAACTACAAATCCAGACCAAGGTTTTGGTCCAACCAACCAGTTGAGTACTCTGTGTCTGTGACTCTTTATGCTCAACTAATTGGTTCAAAGAAAAACCTGGTCTGGATTTGTACTTTCTGGATGTAAACTTTCTACCCCTGATGAAAATTACACAGAACAGTTTAGGGGGATGGTGGTATATTTTCAGGGGGATAGATTTTCTAATCTTTTTTCCTATGGGTGGTGGCACCCAGGTGTGCTTCATGACAACTCCCTGTGTTCATTTGAAGTCAAGTCTGTGATAAAGTGTTTTTGAGAAAACATTGTTAAATGTACATTTTTATGTGCTGTTCTTGATGGCTGTTACATGAATAGCTTCATACTGCTGCAGAAAGGACAATGGTCACATTTATTTGAGGTCACAGCACGGAAAAAGACTTGCCATTAAAAGGAGGTCTTCCCTGATTTAAATTCGGATTTTACACGGTCGCGCTTTTCAACATAGAGGGACTTTCTCAGAGACAAAAGGACGCGTCTCTTTTCTGAAGCCTTATCTGCCTCTTGAAAGTGTGAGTGGGGAGGGAAGCTGACCTTTGACACTCCTCTCCGGCGTGCCCGTATCACATGCTGGGGGTGTCGCAGGGGTTAAAGTTCACAGGAGTGACGTCACAGTCCGGGCAGGCATTGTTACCAGCAGAAATCTCCGGCAGTCGCATTAGCTGTTGTTTGACCTACATTACCAATAACTTAATTGCAGGTGATACTATTAACAAAGGTTAATAAATGAGTCCGCTATCCTCAGGATTAAAAATGATGGGTTGGCTGACGGACAGCTTTATGGCAGAGGCCTGTTTGGAGCTGTCACATGCCGGGATGTACTCGTTAAGAACTACCTACTGCTGTCAGGGGACAAGTCAATGGATCATATTGTCGCCTGCTTCAGGGACCCCCCACCAGGTCAGGAAGACACTGCCTTTGTAATTGTGCACAAAGGCCTCATTTACACTCAGTGCCATCACTTTGTTTAATAGCTGGGCTCCAAGGAATTTCACAGGCGCATACAGTGAGATTGTTTAATCTTGTTTGGGGAGCGAGTCAAGGGAGGGAATGGAAGGTGGCGCTCGAGAGCTGTAAGAAAAGGCTGATTGAATGAAAGATTTTGTTTTCCATTCTTTACCAATAACACTGCAGTGGACAAAAAATGTGAATGAGGAAATAGTCCTGCTACAAAAGAGATCTCCTTTAAAATCAGCTTTGAGTGTCTTATATACTAATAAACATTCCGAAGATTGTGAACAGACATCGCACATTTCCTTTAGGTTAAAAAATGTGTAGGATAGGTTAAGAGGAATGTAAAAACACACAGAAAAATTATGCTCAGATATTTCACAGAGCAGGCTCTGACCTCGACATAGCAGAAGTTGGTAGCGTAGTTCCCAATATATTTAGTAAAGGCTTTCACCTAAACCGAGGTACGACCAAAAGCAGGGATAGACAGTCGGCGGAGTGATTGCAGTTGGGGAACTTACTCAAGGGCCCAACAAAAACTGAAACCACTTAGCAGATTCTGGGATTTGAACTGGTGATTTTACAAATATGGCTGTTTGACCTGTTGAAGCACACGCTCCCCACTGTAAAGCCACACGTTTCCAGCTCTAACTTGCCTATGCTATTTTAGTGCTTTATTGGAATATTGAACAGCATAAAATGTAGGGATTGTGCCACATTAAGATAATGACATACATATGTAAATATCTGCTTACCGAATATATTAATGATAATTAAAACCCATCCACAGGACGCACCACCTCAGTATTACAGCAGCAGGCAGACCTTAGTGGCTTCACCTTATCAGGAGCAGCCAGTGGAGACGGCCCACGACCGCAGTGCCCAGGTGGGTGCCAGCCACGACCGCAGTGCCCAGGTGGGTGCCAGCCAGAACAGCGCATCGTGATTTCACTCTGCGGACACGTGGCTGATTTAGTGCAGAGAAAAGTCGAGTGCGGCATGGGATATGCAGCTGGCTAGCCTGTAGAGTGTAGCAAAGTGAATGAGAACTGAAACAGTAGTGTGCTGGATCAAGACCCACAAAGGGGCCTGCTGTTGTACATTAGAATGAAGCACTTGATCTGAGTTACTTCCATTAAAATGACATTTACTACTCACTAGGGGGATTTCCTAAAAGACTTGACCATAAAGGGATGCAAACCCTTAGTGTTCTGATCCAAAGTCAGACACCTTCTCCATTTGGCCACATATGCTTCTTGCAGTTCAACAGCCATTAAACACTGAATTTATTTATATATCGATAGGAATGAAAACTAAACAAAGCAATAATTTCAATAGTGTCTTTGGCAGCCACTTTTACCCAAAGCAAAGAGATTTTTGTAAAAGCAGGGTTAGGGTCTCCGGAACAACTTTGGGTTAAAATGGTAAAAATCACCGTGTCCTCTGGGGGATTCAAACCACAACCATCCACTCACATCTGATCCCACTAATAGCATAACACTATGCTATGCTAAAATTCCACACTAGATGGTTCAGTATGCAATATGTAGCATAAAAGGGAGTTTTTACTTGGGAGATGGTGAGTGTGTTCATACTGTTCTCTTTGTTGGTTAAAATGTCTGTATTTGGGACCATCTTGCATGGGTGCGTCTCTGATCTGCTCTCTTGTCTGATCTGCACATGCGTCCTGCCACTGCCCCTCTCTGACGACCCCGTGTCCCCGCAGCGCCCGGAGCACCTCTTCATGGTGGGGCTGCCCAACACCTACCGCCTGCCGTCCCTGGAGCTGCCTCTGCCGCGGCTGCCCTCCTACGAGAGCGTGCGTAAGCGGGACCGCCAGCGCTACATCCACATGCTGATCGCCCACCGCTTCGGCCTGTACGGCTCCACCCTGACGGAGGTACGGACTCGTCTCCGGCTGTTGGGGGCAGAAATCAGCCTGGACTCTCTACCCGAATGTGTCGGTCTTCTCTCAAGCAGGAGTTAAAGGAAGCTGCGTATTGATTAAGGAACCAGAGCATGTATCAAACGGTTATAGACTGACTGTACCCATCAAATGATCCGATACAGTGTAAAATATATATAGCATATATATTTAACGAGAGTTAGAATGGGTGTTTATTTATGCAGACTGTCCCGGGCAGGACTTACGGTGACTCGCACATACGATTAAAGTTTTTAAATAATCATAAATTAAGTAAAAGCATGCGATGATAAGTTTCAGGCTTCCGTACACCTGGCAGCGCTCCGCTACTAGAGCGACCATCCCAGCCACACACGCACGTCTCAGTCTTATCCTCACACCTAAACTGCGATTATCCTATTCTGACATGTAGATTTCAGTGTATGACCTGTCTGTCAAAATGGACCCCAGTCGTAAGTTGGGTACAGTCTGTGTTTGTAAGTTGTATATATACTCAAATATATAATAAAAACACAGTATGCATAAATAAATATATTTAAGTAATCAAGATTCTAGCAGTTTATGTGTGGCGCCCATGCGATGACATTTTTAGTTTGCTTACTCCTCCGCATGTTGCTAAAATGAAATGAAATACAGTAACATAGTAGATAAGGATATAAAACATACAGATCCAGCATCGATGAAAATATTAAAGAGAAAAAGCAAGCAATCTAATTCACAATAAAATCACAACCAAATGAACCCATGACCTGGATCAGCACAAGATAGATGGGTGGATGGATGGATGGATGGATGGATTGATGGATAGATAGATAGATGGATGGATGGATGGATCTCTCTCGGTGTGGCTGCTGTGGAGTGATTTGTGTGAGAACTGCGTCCTTCGCAGTGGATCGAAAGCGAATGAGCGGACTAAAGGTAATGGACTATTTTCTCCAAACTGTCTCTCCTTTCAATGACTCGGCAAACAAACGTGTCTTTTGGCTCCTGTCCAGCCCCCCCTCAGATAGTCGTGGGGGGGGGGGGCAGCTGAAATAAAACAGCCTTAGAGGCTCAAAGCATGTACTGTGTTTTTACTGTTTTGGGAATGAGGGGCAATAAAAGATAACAGGTCAGCGTATGGACAGGAATATGAATGAGGTAATTTCAGGCTCTGTTGATGACAGTGCATCATTCATGGTGTGAAAATTACTGTCTGTGCATCGTGTAAAATGGGAGTCCCCTCAACTCGCTGTCAAGGACATGTTTGATAGAGATGTAACTTAGTGTTCATGCGGAATGATGATATGGGTGTGATGGAACTGTGACGGTCACAATACGCGATTTAGAAAACACGGAAGGTAAAGACGGCTGCAGTACCAACAGCTTTTTAAAGATGCGTGTTGCCAGAACCACAGACAAAAAACATCAAATACGTAGCTATTGATCCTATGAATGTTGACACTCGGATTCAACGATGATTGAAAAGGAAACTTTTACTTTTGTTTTGGAGTTCCCTTAAAAACACCAGAACATTAATATATTTTTTGTGTTTTCTACAGCCTCCTCCAACTTATGAGGAGTCCATCCGTCAGTCTGTGGAGGTCAACTGGGAGAATCTGGAGCCTCCTGTGCACTCGCATCTGGACAGGGACGCTACCACATCCTCACAGTCTGTCCCTTAGGCACCACTAATCGAGCGCGAGGGCTCTCTACTGCCCTCTGCTGTAGAAGTACGAGTAGCACAGCCGCTGGAAAAAATATACCTTCAAACTGATTACGCTAACATGCAAGTGTGCGAGGTGGTACATTAACAGCTGGATTTTTCACTGGTGCCAAGATCAGTTCTGATGAACTAAAGGAATCGTCAACATTACTGCCAAGAGGTGCTTAAATGCGAAAGCCACTTTGAGACTTTTCATATTTGAATATTTATCAATTGACAGGGAAAAAGGACTTGTTTCCCCTTACACAAATGGGCTAAAATAAGAGTTTTACTGGCCCGCGATGGCATTAAGGTGTTTCAGTACTTGTGTTGTTCCTCGATGGAAGAGAGTCGAGAAGTAATAAGGTAAACGGTGAGACGGCATGAGCAGGAATACTAGGAAGATATATTTCCAACCATATTTAAAGCTTTTTATTCCTATTTTTTCCTGAAGGCAGAACAACAGAATGGTTTTTGAAATGTCGGATGCAGTACAATTATTTTTATAGTGAAGACATTGGACAAGTGGGTATAGAAAATGGATGTATGGATAGATGATTGGATGGATGGATGGGTACACTCGGAAAAACGGGTAAAAATTTGTACCTTTGCTTGTACCCTCAAGGGTCTGCCAATTGTACCCTGTGCTGTAGGTAAACGTACCTTTTTGGACTCCGATGAACATTTCTATACCGTTGATGGTACATTAATGCTGTTTGTACTTTTGGGATGTTCCTCAGAGTCATTTTCTGTATATTAAAAGGTATAATTACAAGGGTACAGCCTCAGTTGCAAAGGTACATATTTTACTTTTTTTCTGAGAGTGTATAAGAGCAACGTAGAAAATCTTGAACCAATGACATTCCCTTTTATTTTCAATGAGATTGCTTTTTGGAATAGTTTTTAAAGTAAAAATCAGCATTTTTATTATATATTGTGTTTGTGTGAACTCATGTGTTTGTTGATATTTTTATTAATTACTAAGGGACAACTTGTTAAACCAAGTACATTTTCTATTGTTTTAATAAAATGTATTCTAAAAAAATGTATCAATTTTTATATATGTTATTTCTGTCATTGCATCATTTTTAAAGGTTACTTTGAGGCTAATAAGAAAAGTATTATAAATCAACAAAGAAGGAGAAAGTAATGAGACGAATTATAAACCACTAAGAGATATAATGGTGAGGTTTGTGATATTTCATAGTATGTTTTGTATAGGTTAATTTGATGGACCGAAGGGGGAACCTAAAAGCGTCTTAGCTTTTGTGCCATATTGGATTTTTGCACGATATACAAACTGAACAAATAAATTCACATAAATACAAATATTTCTGCTAAATTTTGTGTGTGGAGAACCTTTGCTCTTGCATCTTTCATAGAAAGGAGACTGAAGAGAATCACTCATCTGCAGAAAGAACATTTCAAAGAAAAACATTTGGTGTTATCTATTATCAAACTGTACAAAATATTTGCTTTCGCCGAAATTGTATTTGTGCATGCAATATGTCCCCATACATTGCATTACATTTCCAAGAAAGTTAGATTATTAGAAATTTGCATTTGAAATGAAGTAATCGCACTCCGGATCAATAGGTGGCAGTATTTTAAAAGAATAGGATTCCAAGCGCAACAGAACGACCGAAGAAGAAGCTGCAGGCCTCGGTACGAGCCGCGGCTGAGTGGGCGGGTTCGCTTTTGTTATTACTACGCGCGTCATTTTCTTACGGACAACGACAGATTACAGAAACCAACTTCTGCGGTAAGTCTGTTTTCGAATCGCCTATTTTCCTATTTTTTAGCGGGCGAGCGCATGCCGGGTAACTTCTGAAACTATTATGCCGTCGCTTTGATTTTTCAGCAGGGAATTAGTTCGTCGACTGCTGGGCGAAATTTAACGACATTTTGGCGATGTGAACAGACTGCCGCCGATTTCACAGTTTAGTGGATGGATTCGTCACCTAACTGATGTCAATCACATATTTTGCCCTCATAGTGTTACTGAAACACCGAAAAGAATTTATCTCCAGTGAACAACTCGTTGTTTGACCTTAGTGTTATCTAGATGGTCGTGTTATTTTTAACAAGTTGGAATTGGTAGCGGAAGTGAAAGCGGCGAGGCCTAACTAACATGGTGGACGCCTGCATCCTTGTGTTTTGTTGTTTTTGCCCCAAGTAATCGCGCACGGCTTTAATGGTCATGCGCAGTGTGAAATCTGGAGTAAAGTATTCTCTTTGTAGTGTAAATACTCCCATCCAGGGGAGATGATCATCTCAGCTGATGTAATTTGGACAAAGATTTTGAACGGGAGCCAAATGTTTTGTCGACGGATCGCAGTTTCAACATCTGTTTTTCTAGGCAAAAGCAAGTGAATCACAAAAACATCTCCGTTATGTTGTAGTTTTACATTTTCCCCTTCTTTAACGTGTTTCTACATCGTATTAAATTTATATTTTGTTAGGTGAGAAATGGCCCGTACCAAGCAAACCGCTCGTAAATCCACTGGTGGGAAAGCCCCGAGGAAGCAGCTGGCCACCAAAGCTGCGAGGAAGAGCGCGCCCTCTACCGGCGGCGTGAAGAAGCCCCATCGTTACAGGTGCGTATGGACGCTTTCGTTTCCAGCAACCAATCTCTGTTCACTGAAAACTGAGGGGATGAATTAAAGTTTTTTTTAATAATTGAAAAGTAATAAAGTTCTTATTTTTCTTATTATTTTACAATCACTAAAAACAACTACTACAATCTACTGCTGCAGGCCTGGTACTGTAGCGCTGAGAGAGATCAGGCGCTACCAGAAGTCCACAGAGCTGCTGATCCGTAAGCTGCCGTTTCAGCGGCTGGTGAGAGAGATCGCCCAGGACTTCAAAACTGACCTTCGCTTCCAGAGCGCTGCCATTGGGGCCTTGCAGGTACGCACCGGGGCACTTCGGGGACTGACACTTGGCACGCTGTTCCACTTCTGGATTTTGCGCCTGACTCTGAAATTTCTTTATTTAGGAGGCCAGCGAGGCGTACCTGGTGGGTCTCTTTGAGGACACCAACCTGTGTGCCATCCATGCCAAGAGAGTTACCATCATGCCCAAGGATATTCAGCTGGCCCGCAGGATAAGAGGAGAGAGAGCTTAAAGCACACTGTCGAGGGATAACCAAATATGTGCAACTTTTTTCCTGCTTATTACTATATACTTCTGTTTTTATTATTTTTTGTTTTTTTGTGTTAACTGTAGTCTTGTCATTTCACAATGAACTTGGAGATGCAAGACCAGAAAGCACATATGTCCTGTAATGAGCTGGTCATTTTTTCCTTTGCATTGAGCACTAAGCCCAGGGCACTAAGCTGGCCAGCTCGTTGCCTTGTGTTCAGCTCTTTGCATGCATCAAGGTGGTGGTTTTAATTTTTGTGATTAACCCCCCCCCCCCCCCCTCAAACCTCAGTTTACAGCCTGGATGGGGATTACAAAGCCCACAAAGTAGTTCCTTGAAATGTGCAACACCTCCTCACCCCTGTAGCAGGTGCTGTGGCACAGGTGAGGTAAAGGGCTTGCTCCAGAAACTGGTGTTTCTCTCCCGTACCACCCGATGGTGCTGTGGTCCTTCTTGCCAATCCAGTCTTGCAATAATCCCATCTTTGATTCTCTCCTGCCCTGCATCATCTGCTCTTCCTGGGCTGTTAAACTGGGTTTCTCATCTTTTGTCAGATTGTAATTGTCGTGAAACAGTACAAGACATTTGGGTATTTGGTGTAGCTGGGTTTTTTTTTTTAAGGTTTTTATTCCAGTGTAAACTTCGGCAGCTAAAATTTTACTGATGTTCTTGTCAGTCTTTGTATTAAAGTACATTGAGTAACCCACCTTCATCTCAGTCTTTGTGCGAATTTGAGTGTCTGAGTATTTCACATTTTTCGATTAGATCCAAGAGAGACAAATATCACATGCTTACATCCTTCCATTTTTATCTTCGACCAGAATCTGAACCGCCGATATACACCAAACTCTCCATAAAAGTACACATCATTTACATCATTGTTCACATCATTTACATTTTTTTTTCTGTACTTGATGTACACGACCAGTCAAAAGTTTCTGCACACCACAGGTTTTTAGCACTTTTACAGTTATTTCCTAAATTGCAGATTTTTTTTTGTTAAGCACTGGAAAGTTTTGATCAACTATAAAATATAAGTCAAATAAAACAAGTTTCCTTTATAACATGGAAAGTAACAGTGCATGTCTGACATCCTGTTAACTGGTTGTGTGATGATGGCATAGTCAAATGCTAGGCTGTCCTTTAAATGCCCTAGTTAACGGTTTCATTCCATGAAACGGCAGTATTTACGTAATGTCCCTTGTACAAAGAATGCCTCGAATTTTCTCTGCTGTTATAACTGCTGCAGCAGTTTACTTTGATAAATCAACGATATGACATTTTCTTTCTAATAAAGATACTCAAATGAATGGTGAACATAAATTGTAAATGTATTTGTTAGCAATGAATATTGAATGCATTTATAGTAAATATTAAGTGAGCAACATGCAATTGTAGAAAATCTATGTTCAAAAACATGTAACTGAGCTACAACAGACAGAACAGCTCATTCATAAGAACCTTAAAGGTCAAATACAGTTGAACGCCTTTTTACGAATAAAACACGAAGTTCGCCGTCATTTGTCGTTCAGTGACATCAGCTTCTATTTCTAATTGGACTCTTATCTGTGGTAATTCTACGATGTCGGTCCGACGGAGGCTTAAGCGGAAAAACCACGTGACTGCAGCATGACCCACTTTTCCTAATACATGCAAGAGCAACTTGTTTTAAAAACAGTTTTTTTTGCTAATATGGCCATACATCTCAATATTTAAGCTTTTAGATTTTTGACTCCAAGTCATAAAACATTCACCAGAAGTGAATTAGCACAAACCACAATTACCACATAGCCTATTGTTAATTTAATCACTTTGGGGGGCATTACGCAGTCTGCTTAGTCTCCATGTCGACAAAAAAAATAGATAACAGCAAATACTAAACAAAAATCTTTGAGAGGTACTTGAAATAGGGGGGAAAACTGACTACTCACGCTGGGTGCTTCGTTTTCATTCGGGTGTCTGCCGAAGACTGCCGACGCACGGTGGTGAAATTGAAACGCAATAACAAGGTCACATTGGCTGCAGCAAGATACAGCAGCAGCTGGAGAGGAGCTCGGACGTGCCTTACAGCCACAGCACAGGTAAGTTTGCAGCTACTTAGTACATTTTCTAAGCTTTAAAGCTTACTAATGTGACTCTTTCGGGATGACATAGATGCGCTGGTTTGTCGCGAAGGAAGCGAGCCAGCTGCCATTACATTAAAACGGAAATCCAAATTATGTAACTGTTTATCCATTAGGGGCAAACAGACGCTAATATCAGAGCAGTGATACAAGATAGTGTCCGATTTTACAGTCAATTCCCAATGTATGTTGCTAACTGTCGCATATTTGATTAATGTCCGAATTGCGTTTATGAAAAAAAAAATCTAGATTGCAGTGTCAGGATGCCCACCTAAAAATTTGAATTATTTTACATAAAACTGTCCGTGAACTACACCACGATTTTTTAAATGTTTGCTTGTTTGTATCGTAAACTCCATAAAAGCAGACAGTTATGATGCTGCGATTTTATTTTTGAGATATTGGATATCGCGAGACGCATTTCTGTGTGATGCGCATTTGGAGCTATCAGACAAACTATAAATACAGTCAGCTAAATGATATTTAACTTCAAGGTAACTATAAATTCTAAATCCAAAAATAATGGCAGTGAACTTGTTAGATGCAGCTGTTCACTTTGATATCTGATATCGTTCTATAATAAAATCAATTTAGCATGTCTGACTTGGCTTTTTCCGTTTTGTTGCTTTCGGGGCTTATTTAATTTGTTACTTTGCAAATACAAACCCCCTTCTCCGGCCAATGAGCATACAAGATATGGACTGTATTTTATTTAGTACCAGCGGTCTTTTATGTAATTATTCATTTGCATATTCTGTTGAAGAACTTAAGATCTAGCAACGTGCCAAAGAGTCACAAATACCGCTCCTTAAGCGCCATAACACTTGGTGCTACTGACTATTATTTTCTTCAGCAACAGCGTACCCAGCTCAGTTCGAACCCCTCACTTACCTGCCAACATGATGCAGTGTCTGCACTTCCTTGTTGAGCCGGCTAAGACCTTCGCCTTCCATGTAAAGGTACAGTCGTCTCATTAGAAATGGAAATTTAGCTCAGATATGGTTTTCAACACTTATTAGAGGTGTAAGTCTTACTCTGTTACGACTGTCATTCGTTATGAATTTGTTTTTGTGTCTGAAAGTTTAATTTCTTTTTTGGCCAACTTCTTCCGTCCTTCTGTCTTCTGTAGGAGTCTCGCAACAAGGCGAAGGATGAGAGGGCAGAGCCACTGGTGGAGAGTCAGGTGTTCATCATGGAACTGGCCAAGGACCTCCACCGAGTTTGCCAGGTGAAGCTCTGCACACAACACAGACATGGAGGACTGACCCATTCTGCCTGTGTCCTCACACAGAGATTCACTGAGGTCTTACGTACGCCGTCTTCTTTTCCTGCAGAGGTCAGATGTTCTGGAACACATCTGGACTTGTGAAGATGTCTGGCCCGCCACGGTGTGTCAGGCTTTCATCATCGACTGTGCTGCACTGTTGGATGGCAAGGTAGGAGATTTGCGTAAGATGGACTGGTTCATCCTACTCATCCTATCCCTGCTATCCATTTTGTACCTACTACTCATAAATTAAATGTCACAGTGATAAATGAAGATCGACTGCGAAGAAGCGGAAAATGGATCTGTGGGTGTGTTCTTCTCCAACTCGCGGTAGGTTGCCGGCAGATTGGAGGGCGGTGATCAGAGTGGGCCGCGCCTGGACTCGCAGGAGACAGGTGGCGGGCATGAGGAGGACCCTGCCAAGCTGGCCATCCTGGAATGGACCAGGAAGCTGAAGAAACTGCCGGAGGTAAGCAGATCCTGAAGATTCTGCCATGCGGGAGCCAATATGTCCTGGAACACATTCCACCACACCGTCTGTTGCTCTTTGTTGTTTAGTCTGTTACTTGTCAGCCATATGACATCCCTGACAAAACAATGCTGTGCTTCTGATTTCATTGCCATGATGATCTGTAATGCAGCTAAACCATCCAAATTTGTTGAATTATGTATTTATCCACGTTCCTGCAACTTTCTTCACCGTGCTGGGGTAGAGGCCTAGTATTTAGCTAGCAGGAGCTAACACACTCTCTTCTAGAATTCTGTTGGTGACACAACCCACTTTCATTCTCCTTGCCCCTCCAGGACAGCCTGTGGCCGGGGCAAGCAGTGGTGGAAATCCTGGATGACATCGCAATCAACTGGCAGAAAGGCTGTGTGCCAAGCCTCCAGCCGGCTGTGGAGCTTCTGCTGTGGGCCACGTTGACCGAAGGCTTGGACAAGGTTGGCTGCACGGGACTCCTTATATGTCTGACATAGATTTTATTTTATTTTTTTGGTTTTAAGAAGAAATTCATCATCTGTCGTGTTCTTTGCAGGAAGCTATTCCCCAGAAGTGGCTTGTGTGGAAACAAAGGATCAAGAACATTGGTATGAGTTTTTGGAAAATGTGACTGTCACGCGCAATTAATTAATCTTGAAAATAATTGGTTCTGTATCGTTTACTTTGTTCCAGATGCCATCCCGTACATTCCTCAGAAGGGTAACTGACGCTTCAGCATTATACAGAATCTCAGACACTGATTATATTTTATTCATATGATGAATGAGTCTGTGTGTATGTGTGAGCGTAATGGCACTCATCAATCGAAGTTTACCTCCCTGAAGTCCAGGGATTGTCACCATGCCTTTGAAGTCAATTTGAATTTATTCAGTGTGAACCTCTTGCACATGAAATAATTCAAGGTCATGTTATTATCTATGTTATTTTTGCAGTGTGGAACTGGATACGGGAAGCTGCAGGTACCTATGACATTTATTATTACTGTTGGATGCATAAAAATGGTCTTTCCATTGGCTAAGGACACGCAGTACCTTGTAGTTATACTGTGTCACTCACCTCCTCCTGATTCCCAACCACTCCTCCCTCTAGTGGAGGTGACCCTAGATGCTGAAACGGCCAACCCTGACCTGGTACTCTCCCCTGATGAGAGGAAGATGCGCTGTGGATTCGAGAGGCAGGACCTCGTCAACCATCCGCATCGCTTCGACGGCTGGTGGTGTGCCTTGGGCATGGAGGGCTTCTCCGCTGGGCGGCGCTACTGGGAGGTGGAAGTTGGTGACAGGGACTGGCGGTTGGGCGTGGCCAAGGCATCTGCCTTCCGCAAGGGCTTTAAGTCCCTGAACACGGCCTCCGGGTACTTAACGCTGCGACTCGAGAGGGGCTCAGAGATGAAGGCGTTGACCGTGCCCTTCACCGCCCTGGCCCCCACCCTTGGCAACCCGCAGAGGGTGGGAGTCTATCTCGACTACGAAAAGGGACAGCTGTCCTTCTACGACGCCAAGAACCGCTCACACATCTACACCTACAATGAGACCTTCAGCGAAGAGCTCTACCCTCTCTTTGGCACCGTAGAGATCATCAATGACATGGTGATCTGGTCCCCCGGCGCACCTGAGCCTCGTTGTCCTGGAATCTGTGTCTGGGGTTAAAACGGTTCCGCTCAGCACATTGGTGAGGGATCTGAGTAAATTTGGGGCAAAATCTCAAGATCTCACAGTCGCAGATTCCCCACTGCTGTAAAATCCAGACTGCTTGGCAAATAAGTTGTTCTGTAACATGTATTTTTTTCTTGCTGGCTACATGTATCTTACAATGCTAATATTTAAAAATGATAATATATATTTGTGGTGTGTACACCTTTAAAGTAACAATGATGCACTTTATGTGAATAGTAAAGGTACCCTGTCATGCACTTACTCATTTCTCGTTTCTGTATTTTGTTACATACATATCAATTATGCCTACACAAAAAGTTTAACAACATAACTATACATCTTAATGTTATTGTGTTGAAATCACATGTATGACTAATTAGTAATGCGTGAACGTATTTTCCCACTTTTGAGAGGCACAAAAATTAAAAATATGCATATGGCACCTAAACGCTAAGAAAAAAATATCAATAAAGATTATATTTTTAAAAACTTATAACTGGTGAAATATACAAACACAAAAGGTTATATAACTCGTGCAATTTTCAGTTGAACATAAATATTACATTGTTGTAACAATGTAAATCTATAAGTCCTTAGTATTTGAGTTCCAATAAGAAATCTGCATATTGCAAGATTAGGGTCTCATTAAGTTAGACTATTCTGACTTGCAGCAGTGTCCTTAGAAAACCCCATGATTATGCGCACCCTGCAAAGCCCGCAAGGCAAATCGTCTCGCCGGCTCGCGCCTGTGATGTCATTCGCGTGCGCCTGAGCCCTTTAATCCGGGACTGGCAACTTTGCCGGAGTCTTGGGGGAATAAGCGAGCGCCGGTTATGGCTGCACTCCGCCGTGCTTTGAAGACGCATTTCGGCCACGAAAAGTTCCGATCGCAGCAGCAGGAGGACGCGGTTAAAGCCATCGTTAAAGGTAACTGCGAATGAAACTTGCCAATTTGTTAGGTGATGAAATCGCAGCGATTCATTGTCTGGGAGAATTTTCTGTTAACCCTGTAATGAAACAAAACGAAAAAAAAAAAAAACTGAAAACGGAAAGCTCTAATGGCAAAGTAAGGAGTGTTGGGTGTGATGTTGCGTGTCCTGCGACAGGTGACCGGGATGTGTTCGTGTGCATGCCGACGGGCGCAGGGAAATCCCTGTGCTACCAGCTTCCTGCAGTGCTGGCACCGGGAATAACTCTGGTCATATCGCCGCTTATAGCGCTCATTCAGGTCAGAAGCGCCTACAGCATCTGCTTATTCTTACTAAATGTCACGACAACTGAGCACACTTATCGTGAATGTTCGGATCATTTTACATGGGAAAGGGCAAAAGTTGGTCGCAGTATTTTGATTTTGGAACCGTACAGTTATTTGTTATATATTTTTACGTGATAGTTGACCCAGGCTAATGGAAGAAGAGACTTTTATAATCATTTATAGGGTGCTTCTCATTAATTGTAAATAAAGCTTCCAGTTCATGGCTTTCCCACCACAGGACCAGGTGGACCAGCTGCAGTCGCGGAACATTCCAGCATGTTCCATTAACTCCAAGCTCCCCGCCCATGAGCGGGGGACCATCTTGGCGGACCTGCAGAGCGAGAGCCCCCGGCTGAAGCTGCTGTATGTGACCCCAGAGATGCTGAGCTCGGCCTCCTTCCAACCCTGCCTGGCGTCCCTGGCCTCGCGCAGCCTGGTCTCCTACCTGGCGGTGGACGAGGCTCACTGCGTCTCCCAGTGGGGCCACGACTTCCGGCCGGACTACCTGAAGCTGGGGGAGGTGCGGGGCCGCCTCCCGGGGGTGCCCTGCGTGGCGCTGACCGCCACGGCCCCCGCACGCGTGCGCCAGGACATCTGCCGTGCCCTACGCCTCCGCTCGCCGCTCTCCTTCGCCACGCCAGTCTTCCGCAGTAACCTGCGTTATGATGTGGTGTACCGCGAGCTGCTGGACGACCACTACGCCAACCTGCACGCCTTCATCTTGGAGGCACTGGGAGGGGCCGCTGCTGCCAAGGTCTGAGCTTGTCTCGGGGTGTCTGGATGAATCATCATACCTGGGGGGTGTTCGACCAAGCAGGATATCTTGCATAGCTGGATAACTTGTGGGACTTAAGGTAGTCTAAGCTAAATTTAAGGGAGCAGAGATATTAGTCCATTTCGCCCAGACCACCTTAAATCCAGCAATCTCTGACTAAGCAAGAAATCCTGCTTTGTGGAACACCCCCTTCTGCTGCCTTTGGGGGGGGGGTGGTCAACAGGCAGTGCTGTGGGTAGGACTCCACCCTCCAGGAGGTCCTCCTTGTGTTTTGTGTCAGTGCGGTGTGGTGAATGAGCGCCACTCGCCCGCAGTCTGATTGTGTGATGCGCCTTGCAGACCGGCCTCCCGTCCAGGGTGTGTCCTGTCTAGTACGCTTTACTTCCTGGGATGGGCTCAGGTGTTCAGCCAATAACGCTTATTGCTGCTGTGTTCTGGCATCGATTGTCTCCCCTTCGTTGTGCCTCAGGAACTCGCGGGTCACTTTACCGTAAGGTGTCTGTCTGTCTGTCTGTCTGTCTGTCAGTCAGACTGATACACGCAGGCCTGTATCACAGACATTCTGTGTATCTGTCTGAGATACAGGCCTGTGTGTATCAGTCTTTCTGTCTATCTGTCTATGTGTCATACAGGCCTGTGTGTATCTCTGTATCTGTGTTGCATAGACCTTTACCTGTATTCTTGTCTGTCTGTGATTGTGATACAGGCCTGTGTGTGTCTGTGATACAGGCCTGTGTGTGTCTGTGATACAGGCCTGTGTGTGTCTGTGATACAGGCCTGTGTGTATCTCTCCATCACTCAGGCTTGTGCTGGTCTGTCCTGCAGGGCTGTGGGATCGTTTACTGCCGCACCAGAGACGCCTGTGAGGAAGTGGCTTACCGGCTGACTCTGCTCGGGGTCCTGGCCAAGCCGTACCACGCAGGTGCGGAGTGTCAGCGTTTCAAACTGCAGGCTGCTAACTGCACTTATTATCTTTTGGGCTAATACATTTTTTCTGGCCCAGGACTCAAGACGGGTGACCGTACGGAGGCGCAGAACAGCTGGATGCAGGGCAAAGTGGCTGTGATCGTGGCCACCATCAGCTTCGGCATGGGCATCGACAAGGCTGACGTCAGGTGGGTCGCGGCCACAGACTCTGATTGGCTCACAGTGAGAGAAGGGAGGAGATCTTCTGCTTGTGGTGCTATAATCATTGGTCAGTGATGCTTTTAAGTTTTGAATTGAGGTTTGGATGGAAAAGAAAAAATAAAAAAAAGATAAATAATAATGGCAATAATGGCAGGTGTGATTGGATAGGTTTGTGGCCCACTGGAACCTGGCCAAGTCCCTGGCGAGTTACTACCAGGAATCGGGCCGCGCCGGAAGAGACGGGCTGCCGTCTTCGTGCCGGGTTTACTACTCACCTCGGGATCGGGACCAGATCAGCTTCCTGATCCGCAAAGAGATCAGCCGCATCCAGGTGGGGGCAGAGCTGGGGTCTGACACGCCCAGAGCTTCGAGTCCATCAACGGAGGCTGCGGTTCTGAAGCGTTTGACTCCCTCTCTCCAGGAGAAGCGCGGCTCAGAGAAGGAGCACGACAAGGCGGCCATGACGGACTTTGAAGCCATGGTGGCATTTTGTGAGCAGGAGGGGTGAGCTGTGATTTTCTCTTTGAGGGGGGAGCCATGGAAATGTGCAGAGCTACTCTGTGAATGTGCAAAGTAAATACAGTTTCATCACTGTAAGCCATGAGGCAAGCTGAGAAACTTCTAATACGAATGAATCTGAGACACATGAGACACAAATCCTGTACAAATTGTCCCCGACTTACAACGCACGCATCGTCTCATTTTCACACCTAAAAGTCAGTGTGATTATCCTATTCTGACATATGGCCATTTCGACAAAGCAGGGGGGTCTTCCATGAAGCAAGATTTCTTGCTTAACCGGATAGCTTGTTGGATTTAAGGTAGTCTGGGCTAAATGAACATTATCTTAGTTTCCTTACATAGTTTCCTTACGTTTAGCTAAGACTACCTTAAAACTGAAACGTTATCCAGATGAGCAAGAACACCTTGCAGGATTTGCCAAATATTAATGCATATTATTAATGGATGTGGCTTATCAGGCATATGCCTCATTCTCCACCTGAGTCTCCAGGTGTCGACATGCCACCATCTCCAAGTACTTCGGGGACCAGAAGCCAGACTGTGCCGGGGCCTGTGACTTCTGCCGGGACCCCAAGGCGGTGCGTGCCCAGCTGGAGGCTGCTGGCCGCCTCAGCACCACCATCGGTGGGGCACAGGGCAGCGAGCCCCGCGGGCCCTTTGGCTTCGACCCCGAGCTATATGCCGGGGGCAGGAAGGGCTACGGCTTTGAGAGGTCAGTTAGGAAGAAATGCTACAGCCGTGCTACCAATCACGGCCACTAGGTCAGGTGGTGCAGTCATTAAGGCACTGGAGTTGATTGGTTTGCTTCAGCCTGTGCTTTTGATGTTTTTGTTCAGGATCTGCCACCTGAACTGATCAAGTAAATGTAAGCTGAGGTGATACATATTATAATGAATTATCCATGTCTTCTGTGACCGTGTACCAGGTATGACGAGGAGTCGTGGTCCGCCCCCGAGGATGACTCAGAGAAGCGCAGGAAGGAGTTCGGCGACTTCTTCAGAAGGCAGATGAGCATGCGCAAGGTGGGCCTGCTGGTACTACCCGCTAATGGCTACGCTTTAGCATGCTGACTCAGACATGGGTGCTCATCTTTAACGGTGTATAGTGAAGCTGAATAGTGCTGTTGGTTTTTGCTGGTGCACGGTAAACATAAAATCTCTAGTTTTTGTCTCTCCTCATCCCTGCGCAGGTAGCTGATGTGTCGAAGGAGACCTTTGTCCCTCCAGGTGAGGCAGGCCTGCTAGAGTTTCTGAAAGTCAAGGGATACTGCAGTCCTGTCCTTTATACATCACCCCTTCAGTGGGCAGTACTGGGACACAGTGGGGGTTACGTTAGTGTGATGGAATGGAAACAAGTGTTAGCCTCCCGCGTTAGCCTTTCATGTTATGGGGAGTCGCTTTGGGCCCCCTGCCCAGTTTTCTGGGGCCCCGGTAAAATGCTCGACCCCCTACATCTGCCAGGGTATCCCTGCCTCTACAGCAGCCCTGCTTGTGTCCCTGCCTCTACAGCAGCCCTGCTTGTGTCCCTGCCTCTACAGCAGCCCTGCTTGTGTTAGGGCCTCATGTAAACTTCCAGAATTCAGTTGTACTTTTGGTGATAGTGGTGGGGTTTAGTCTAAGAGTAAAGCCTGTAAAGGTCTCTCTGCTGATCTCACTGTTAATCTCTGCTGGTCTCTCTGCTGATCTCACTGCAGATCCAGACTGTCCACTCCGGGAGGCAAACAGCCAGCGAATCCCAAGGCTTACAGTCAAGGTAATCGGTTGCCATTTTGCATGTTGGCCTGACTAGCGTCTGTGGTTGTTAGTGTTTATTTTCATTACATTTGTTACTTTCCTAATTATCTTTTATAATGAGTCAGTTGTTAGCATTTATTTGTGTTTTATCTGATGCTTTCCTGATTATAATGGGTTAGACATGTCATTGACTGGGAGTGTCTTAATTCTGGGCCTCCTCCTAAATCTCTTTGAACTGATGGCTACTACATCCTGTTAGTCTTCCAGATGTCAGCGATTCCTCCCTGTGTTTCAGACTCGGGAACACTGCCTGTCGCTACTGGAAAGTGCCTTTAGGAACCAACAGGGGGCAGCAGACCCCGCAACCAGGTACTTCTCTATATAACGCTCTACCTGTCGGCAAATCATGCACGTGTTTATTTAATGTGAGCGCCATTATTTTCACTTCTTCTAACTTACTAGCTGCACAGGCAGTGAACGTTCTCATCTGCTTAGCGTTGCTGCATCATGGCCAGCTGCCTCTTTCTGACCTGCCCCCCTCCATCAGCTCTGACTTCCAGACCTTAGCCATGGACCTCGAGCACGACATCTTCAAGAGCAGCAAGTCTGCCAATCTGTACAGGGCAGCCGTGCTGAAGAGGGTGAGTCTTCATCAGTTGCCAAAGTATGCGCCAAAGTATGCGCCAAAGTATGCGCCAAAGTATGCGCCAAAGTATGCGCCAAAGTATGCGCCAAAGTATGCGCCAAA